AAAAAAAAATTCATCATAGGATAAATCTTAAAGATTTACATATGATTGATAGCGAATATAGATGGCGATATTTACATCGCTATTATGAAAATCAGATTAGAGATACAGCTGATCGTTTTTTTTGGACGAATATTAAGTTTTTCAGATTACTCAGGGTTCAATTCCTCTCACTGATTTTGACTCTAATTTAATTGTTGTATTCCATTAAAGAACTTACGCAATTATAAATACCAAAGCAATTAGAAATAATCACTCATCAATAATTATTACGAAACCCATGAAATGACGTGAATGCGCTTCCTTGTAAATATTTGTTGTTTTTCCAAACACTATAACCAATTTTAATCATGAAAAATACTGTTAACAGCGTATAAAAAGAAAGGACATCGGATTGTTATAAAGATTAGATATCACAAATGCAAATTACCGCACGTATAAACGCGGATTCATTAAAAGAACTGCAATCATATGACTCAAAATATTTCGATGTTATTTCTCATAAGTTTAGCGCTTAAAGGTTTTTTTTTTTTAAAAAAAAAATTGGGATAGGATTGGGCCAGAACTTGAAATATATGTATTTTTAAAATCATTATTGTTCGAAGGTTTTATTATATATTAGTGGTGCATATATGTTTTTTTTTAGTCATTTTGAGCTAGTGTAATTTAATAAAATGTTTTTAAGAATATAAAAAGCTTTAATTGTCATATGCAGCTACATAAGTACGTACGTGCATACGAAGGTACGTACGTACGTACATACGTCATATATAGGTACAAAGGTACGTACGTGCATACGTCGGTGCGTACGTACTGTACGTACGTACGTACCTGGTACGTCATATGTAGGTTTATATTAATCTAATTAATAATGATTTATATACCGGGTTGGTTAAAAGTCTCTAAACAGGTCCCCTTTTTTTGAACAATTTAAACATGATTAAAAAAAAGGGGGACCTGTTTAGAGACTTTTAACCAACCCGGGTATGTACACGTGCGCAAGATCTAACATTCGTAATTGCCTGCGTAGTCTTCAATAAATGTGGCGGTTAAATTAAATTTCTATAATAGGGAATTTTTAATGGCAATTTCAATGATTATGTTAATTGTCCCAAATTATTTTAGCATAGGTTGTGGAACATTTAAATAACGCGCAGCTCACGCAGCATTTTAATGCGCAGCCTCGTGTAATGTTTTTATATTATGTATTTGCAGGTGGCTATTAGATAATCGAAACATGTCGCTACATATATATATACAGCGATAGATTCTTTAGATTAATTAATCAATTTTTCACTTAAAAACAAATACACCTTCAAAAATGGCCGACGATTTGTTAGTCTCAAATTTATTCTCTGTCAAGGACAAGATAGCATTAATTACTGGTGGTGGCACAGGAATTGGTAAAATGATTGCCAAAGCTTTCGTGAAGAATGGTGCTATAGTTTATATTGCTTCAAGAAACAAATCAAATCTTGATCAAGGTTTATTATTTAATATCAAAAATTTTTTATTATTTAAAGTAAAATATTTTTATAATTTATTAAAATTATTCGTTATATTTATAATTTAAAAGTTGCAAAAGAATTAACAGAAATGGGACCAGGAAAATGTTTCAGTATTGAAGCAGATTTAAATTCAAAAGCTGCTTGCGAAAAGTTAGCAACTGATTTTAAAAATTTAGGAAATGATAAACTCGATATTTTGGTGAATAATTCTGGCGTAGGGTTTAAATCTACCTTGACCGAATATTCTGAAGAGGATTGGGATGCGATCTATACTCTAAATGTTAAATGTGTCTTTTACTTAACAATTGCGTAAGTAATCATATGAATTACATTTAGTACAGCTTTGTGGCAGTACAAATTGAACTAAGTTTTAATTCATTTAGTTGTTTGCCATTGCTCGAGAAAGCCAGTAAAAAGCCAATTGATCCTTCAAGGGTTATCATAATTGGGAGTATTCTTGGTATTGCAATCAATTTTATATTGTTGTTTTAAAAGGTTATATGATAGTACTGTACTATCCTGTTTTCATAGTATTAATTACTTTTGCATAATTAGGTATTGGTGAGGGAGAACTCAAGCTAGTACAATCTCTTAAATTTTCATCTATACCTTATAATACATCCAAGTCTGCCGTACATAGCGTTTCAAAGAATTTAGCAGTTCACCTTACGTAAGAAATTATTTTATTAAAACTCTGTTAAAATTTTAAAAATTTTTCTTACCATTTTTTTGAATAGTCCACGAGGGATAAACGTTAATGCACTTATTCCCGGAATGGTCCCTATAAATGATAGATCAGATGAACTTAATAAAATAGCCCTTAGTGAAGTTCCCCAAGGTAAAATTAGCAAAATATTTATTGTAATTGCACCACGTAGAATTTTTATGACAATTATTTTGATTTAGGACGTCTTGGAGGTGAATCGGATATGGCAGGAGCAGCATTATACTTAGCTTCGCGTGCTGGTAGTTGGGTAACTGGTGTTGAAATTGTAGTTGATGGTGGATGTCTTTTGCGCTATAAATTATCAGAATAATTTGCTTTTCAATCAATTTTTTTCAATTTTTTTTCATTTTAAACATATCTATTATATTTAACTCTTTGAAAATTTTGTATTTCTGTAATGGTAATACAAAATTTTAAATAATAATAAATGATAACGTAAGTTTTTTTTTCTACTCTTGCCAATAAAATCGATGATCGAATATTATGATAAATATCTTTAAATTAAAAAAAATAAAAGTTCATTCCGTTACTCGATTTTAATAACAGTCCATTAGTCGTATGAATTTTTATATTTTGAGAGCTTGAGCCCCAATTTTTGATCAGAGTTAATTGACCTGCATTACTTAATGCGAGCCCAGCTGCGATTCTCAAAATAAGAATCGATTAATGATTAAATTGGATCAAAAGAAGGAAAAGCATTAACTGATGCACTTTATAAGAACATCACGCTGACCACTTTAGATATTCGATATATTAATTTTAACCTTTATATAAAATCAAATAAATTCAAGTATAAAATATTAATTTTTGTAAATTATTGTAAACTGTTATAAATTAGCTTATTGTAAATTTCTCGCGCTACAATAGTAAGAGTTTTTTAAAAAAATTGTGTACTCAAAAAGAAAAATATTTTGAAGGTGTTCAAAAAATATTAAAATTTATTCATAAGATACGTGATTAGAAGACTTATCAACAACTCAAATCAAAGTTTATCAAGATATTTGATATTTAAGTATAATATTCTGACATTATAATAGTAAGCATAATTTTTTCTACTGTATCGTTCCAAAAAATTGGGAAGGCTGTTTTAATTCATCGATAATAACCGATATTCCAATTCATATAACTTACTATCTATAAAGAATTATTAAAATGATAAGTATCGAATAATGATAAATATTGTTCAATATTCTGCAATAATGTCATAAATTCCTGGTGTTGGTTGCTTTTCTAGATCCGTATTCCAACATTTACTCATTAAATCTACGTCGCAAGTTACCGTATGTTCGTAGATATGCGGTAGTAACCCATTAATACTTGTAACTCAAAGGGTACAGGTTTATCGTATAAATTTTCCATATGATTATATCAAATGGATAAATATCAGATGCTTTAGTATATGGTTTTTGTCCAAAATTTTCAGGGCAATGTATGGTAAAATTTCATCAGATTTGATGCTATATTAGCTGTATGCACGTTTTAAGCTATTTAGTAGTAAGTCCCAATGAATAAGATCATGAAAATGAACTACAGTATATCAAGATCCGATGTAATACTTCATAGCAAATTTAATGATATAGTACGTAGATGTTTGCGCAAACAACCTTCTATAACATATTTTATTACATGTAATCTTTAGAAGTTTATCTGATCTTTAAGACCGATATCACGATATGCCTTTAACTTATTAAAAAGAAATTATACACAAATTGTAAATATAAATGATAAATAATAAAATACTATAATTGTTAATGTAAATGATAAATAATGAAATATTGTTAATTATTAAAGATTACCTCTATTATTATTTATTCATAATAAGTATTTGATTTATGAAGTAATTAACGTATAATATAAAGCTGTTAATCTCTTTAATACTTTAAATTGATTATAAGAGATACATGGTAACTGATATTTATTATCTTTAAATATATTTTTTCAAATCGTTTTCAATATCGTAACGATTGAATTGGAGAGCGACGCATAATGAATGCACAATGTAGCTTCAACTGCTACTATAGGTTATATGATACATAATGAAGGAAAATCATTATGACTATATTATCTTTATGATGGAAACGAGGTTCTTCCGTTGATCAATATTAACAATATTAAAGATCGTACCTATTTTATGACATTAGAGGCTTCACACTACGTATCATACGTATCAATATTTACACTGCCTCATGCGGGGATTTAACAATCACGATACTCAAATACAGAAATAGGTAAGATCATATAAAATAATTCATTACCGTTACGATGATTATTTAATTTATGACAGTATTATGAAGTAATGGTAATTTTAAGCGCAACAGTTCAATCCAAATTCTGATAAGAGATCAATTTATTTTTTATGAATATATTATTTAAGGTTATAAATAAATTAATAACAAATCAGATATCAGATATAGTTTAATAATTGATAATTTAAAAATGTGAAATTATTAAAAACGTAACCAAATTCCGAGCTGAAGATCACTTCTGATCTCATATCTAAAACCAAGATGCTAGTTTTTTGAGCGCCATTCATGTAACTATCAAGCACCCTGATCTAAACCAATAAAATTGTGCAGTAAAATAAGTGTAGAAAACAATAAGAGATTGCAAGAAATTGCAAAATTTTAATAAAATTTCATAGTATATATGAATAAATATATTGAATAAATTAAATAACTTATACGTATCGATATTGATTTTGTTGATTGATTTCCTTTTTAAGAAATTGTATTACCGCACAAATTACCCCCTTAAACAATAACGATAAAAATTTTTGTATAAAAATGGGAATTTATCCTGAATCAAAGAATTTGGATCAAAACAATCAAAACACGCAAAAATGAAAACGATTATGTGGTTCCAAAACGTCTACTTTTTCGTAACAATCAAAGATGAAATTGATAATAATCAAGCAGAAAATATCAATGACCTAATCGACAAAGTTTCAAAGGAAGTGAAAAGTTTAGCCGGCATTTACGTAACCGACACTTGCACCAGCCCCTTTTTCACAGAAGTTATGAAAGACGACCAAAAAGTTAAACTTTATTTTACGTACGATCTCGACCTTGTTAAAATCTTTAAACAATGCTACGAAGAAGAGAAGTCAAAAGACTTAATGGAGTTCATGCAGTCGAAAGGATTAACTGACCTCCACACGAACGATAGAAGATCTGATGATGAATACAGAAGTATGGGATTTACACAAGAGGGATCTGAAAGAGAAAAGGAAGTCATGGATTTATTGGAAGAATTTGCCAACACTGACTATATTAAGAATAAATACGGAGAAGATGCCTTTGAATTTAACGTGTTATCCAAACAACGACAGTAACCACGATCTTTTATTTTTTATGATCTTTTTATGATCTTTTTATTAAGATGAATTTATCTCTTAATAATATTAACTTCATGATGTAAAGCTTTTTTTTTTTCTTATAAATAAAGTTCATATTCATATGATGATTTCTGATGCTTAAACAAAACTTGTACGATCATGTTAATTATGGGAAATTTTTAACTAGATGATCACAATATTTTAGTTAAATGATTATAAATAGCGTAATTTTTGACAAATAAAATAGTACACGGGTCTTTTACATTCCTAAGTATTAAAGATTGTTTCTTTGGGACCAGCAATATATAACGTCATCCAAAAAATTTCAAATTATTTCACGATTAAAATATCACGTTATTTTGTTAAGATTAGCATCTTACTATTAGATCCTACAGTACTATTAGATTAAGATTCGAAGGTTATTAATTTTACCAAAATTTTACAAGGGAAAAATTTTTACTAATGCGCAGAAGATAGTTTCATAGTCTAACTTTAGAGTTGCGAATGATTTTTACGTTGTATTGATATTCTTTTGTTACACTTGATCGTGAAAATTTGATTTGCCAGTAAAATTTTTAGGGTGGTGACTTTTAACTTGTTTAAATTGAAGGTGGACCAAGATCGATAAAAATTTATATGATCAAGCTTCTTTTTTGTGAAATCTGCAATATAAGCATTGTTCAATTCGTCTAGCTAAATTTTTCACTATGTAAATCTCGATGTTCTAATTAACATCCCTTTTAGAATATTTTCTAATTTTAAAGAAAGAGCTTTTTAACACTTAAAAATATAAATCTATTAAATCGCAAAACTTAATACAGTAAACTAATTTCTGAATTTCGTCTTGATCACGGGATAGGATATTTGTTATAAGAATTCTTATGATGTCAGGCAAATTAGTTTCACAAAAACTTTATCTAAATCAATATAGATATTTTTTAATAATTTATATAGATGTAGATGAATTTATAACAAAATTACGTCGAACCATTTTATACTGTATGTTCAAAAATTTAATACCAATACTATATTCGTTCCTTGCATTTAAAAATGATTGGACATAGACATGATAATGAAAAATTGCTTCACCTGCATTTAATCTGTACTTCATCCTGATACAGTTAAAAAATGTACAAGTAAGTTTATAATGCTATTAAAAAATGAACAGATACTCAGATAGATTGCTTTTATTAATGAAATATTTTATTATTAAAAAATTAGGACAGTTAATTTTCGAATATGATATGAAAGTATGTATTTATATAATTCAAATAAATTTGATATGTATACAATATTGGGCAATTTATGATCATGATTGGTAGGGAGTCGCTCGCTGAGTTTTAATTTTGAATACTGGAATAAACGTAATTACATAGTAACACATGAAAAAAATAACAAAAAGAAAGTTTTTCATGTCAAAATATAATTTTTTTTTTATAATTTGCAACTAACGATAAAAAAAATTCTTTAAAAAAGGTATTAGATAGCTTAAATGAACAGTCATACTTTACTTCATCTTAAAAAAATATAGATTTTTCTTTATTGGTTAAAGAGCTTGATAATTTTATATTTGAAATAATAGAGCAAAAAGACTTGAAATATCTAATGCAAACATTGAAAATGAAAATATTAATCAACGTTATTGTTTTATATTGTTTCATATCTTTAAATATTAATTCTTAAGAACTTATTTATTTATCGAGACTTTACATAGGGGTAATATTTTACACGATAATTTACGTGTAGCACTCTAAATTGCATAAAAAAATCAAGCTTGAACTATAGTCATAACCTCAAAAAAATTTAATTGATCTATTCAGTATACACATAAAAGATGACATTTAGTCATTATTTGAAATCTATATTAGAAGTTATTATAAAAATAGCACACATGTTTCTAAAAGCGAAAGAAAGCATCAAACAGTATTTTAATCTGCTGAAAGCAGAAATTCTAGCGGGAAATTCATAGTTAGGTTTCCTGTAATAAATATATAGGTACTGTATTACTACTGATTCTCCGCTACATTTTAGTCGACACTAGAGACGGGCTAAATTGATTACATTAGGGCGTTTCAGAGTTAACTTATTTTGAAAATAAGTGGGAGCTTGAAAAGTCCTATTTTTGTTTTGAAATTTCGAAATCAGAAAATGAAAAAAGGAGTTGTCCGAAGATAAAATAAACAAACTTTTTTTAATTATGTATATTATATATATAATATAAATAGGCTTACAAATAAAAATAATTAGGATTTATAAATCTCTGATTACAAAATTAATACGTCGCTAATTTAATTCGAAATCAGAAACCTGAACCTTAAGTCTGAAACCCC